TTATTTAATTAGGGTCCCCACTCGCCGCTCATGGGTGGGGGCCAGGGGGGAAGTGCCGAAGTCCCGAAGTGTCGAATTTCGGAAGTGCCGAAGTGCTTTGGAATTCTCATTCTGTGCAGAGCCCTCCATGGGTGAAGATGGATTATTTTTTGCTTTTTTTTTTTAAAGGACCACTATAGGCACCCAGACCACTTCAGCTTAATGAGGTGGTCTGGGTGCCTGGTCCAGCTAGGTTTAACCCTTTTTTCTATAAACATAGCAGTTTCAGAGAACAGCCTCATTGACAGCCGCTAGAGGGCTTCCACGCTTCTCTCTGTGATTTTCACAGTGAGAAGACGCTAGCGTCCATAGGAAAGCATTGTGAATGCTTTCCTATGGACTGGCTGAATGCGCGTGCAGCTCCTTCCACGCATGTGCATTCAGCCGAAGAGGAGGAGAGCTCCCTGCCCGGCGCTGGAGAAAGAGGTAAGTTTAATCCCTTCCTCCCCCAGAGCCCGGCAGGAGGGGGACCCTGAGGGTGGGGGCACCCTCAGAGCACTATAGTGCCAGGAAAACGAGTATGTTTTCCTGGCACTATAGTGGTCCTTTAACAGATGGGTATTATGGATTTTTACTTGGCCTTTTTTGGGGCTGAAGAAAAAGAAAGAAGACATCTAATGGTAAGTATGAAATTTTATTTTACAGGGTTAGGTAGGGTATTTTTATTGGGTGGAAAGTGACTAGGGGCTTGGGTGGGGGCCAGGGGGGAAGTGCCCAAGTCCCGAATTGCCGAAGTGTTGAATTTCGGAAGTGCCGAAGTGCTTTGAATTTCTGAAAAGTGGCAAAACAAGAGAGAGGGAGGGAAAATTATATGACAGGATTCATGACCAATAAGCTAATTCCTGGCACTGGGAGCCCTACAGATGTGTAAGTGGTTGTGGTGGCAGTCCGGGCACTGGGAGCCCTATAGATGTGTAAGTGGTTGTGATGGTTAGGGGTAGGGCTAGGAAGCCTATCTGAATTACAAAGTTCAGAGTTGCTGAATTCCCGAGTTGCCGAAGTCCCGAATTGCCGTAGTTCTGAATTTCGAAAGTGCCAAACTGAACCGAATGCAATTTTTCAGAATTGTCGAAGTAGCCGAATTTTTTTACTTACCCGGATTTCCGAACCGAACCATTTTTTTTTGCCAATGCGCATCACTATAATTAAGGTCCCCACCCGACGGCCACGGGTCGGGCCTGGGGGGGATACTAGGTCCTCCCATTTATATTAATAGCCCCTATGAGGGTGGGGGCATGGGGGGGACTATATGTCCCCCCCATTTTAGTTATTTGGGTTCCCAGATTTGGGTGCCAGGTCCCCTCTTATTGCACTAGGGACTGGGCAGCAATAGCAACAACTACAGCTTATTGAATTTGTTCTGGTGTGTAGAATGATTACATTCAGGCTTTTTGCTGTAAACGCTGTCTTTTCAGAGAAAATGCAGTGTTTACATTACAGCCTAGTAATAACTTCATTGGCCACTCCTGGGTCATGGGTGCCTAAAATGCATCCAAACATTCAGCGTCTCCTCCCTCTGCATGCAGACACTGAACTTTCCTCATAGAGATTCATTGATTCAATTCATCTCTATGGTGAGATGCTGATTGGCCAGGGCTGTGTTTGAATCATGCTGGCTCTGCCACTGATCTGTCTCTTTGTCAGTCTCAGCCAATCCTATGGAGAAGCACTGTGACTGATGTTTTAACACAATAGAGTCAGGAATACGTTTGTGTTCCTGACCATATAGTGATCCTATTATGTCATTGATGTAATCAGATTTAAGGATTATATACACATTAAACTCCCCCATATCATATATCCATATGTTAGTTAATTGCATGGTATTGCATAGTAATTATAGGGGCATGTATTGGCTGATATATACAAACATCCAGTAAGTATATACATTAAACTGATGTATGTCCTCAACTAAAGTATACAGTTTGAGAAAATTATGTATATATTAGAAACTTAGATATCCTTAAGGTTTGTAGAAGAGTGTGTTAGATATTTAGCATGCCAACTATCCAACTCAGAGGTTTCGGATCTAAATATTAAACGTGAAAATATATATACAGTGTACAATTAGCTATAATATAAATTTCTGCAATATTATTTCCCATGTAAATTATTAGAGAAGGGGGAATGGGAGAATCCTTTGTTTAGACCGTACGGTAAATCCAAACGCATTCTCTTCTCCTTAGGCATTTGTCTAGATTGCCTTTCCTTTGGTCTAGTTTCACTAATTCAATGCCCAGGAATTTTATGTATTAAAAGAGTCGTAGCATAGCCTTGAAGCTTGTTTCTGCATTATTGTTATTGTATTTAGTTTGGGACAATATGGTGTAAACATATTATGCACTGAAGGTAAGTAAGAGGTTATTGCTTAAAGAAACACGTATGAAAAACAATATGCTAACAGCTTGTCAGTTTGCAATATCTCTTAAAGACAAAGTACACAGTTTGAGGAATACAATATTTGCATTTGCCCACAACAGTAGCGTTGTCGGCTCTCCCCTTGCTTTTTTATTTTTGCATGGGCAGTGCTACTTTCCTCCTAATGGACGAAAACGAATTATTTTTTACAGAATTTCATTAGAAAACAAATGGTTTACGGATGAAATTCGGGATTGACGAATGCAATTTTTATTTAGTACAAAATCATTCGTACAAAATACAAATTTCACTGGTGCACATGTCTAGGAGAAATGGCCAATCTCTCAGTTTGGGGCTAGATATTTTAAAAGTCAACCTTCTGGCCAGTATACATTTTTGAGAAAGCCCATCTGGACTATTTCTGTAGTTCACTTGTATTTATTGTGTTATGCAACTTTTAAAATTCTTTTAATTGGTTAACTAAATATACCTTGCTATCTATGTCTGAGGTGGGCAACTTAAATAGTCTTAAGCCCAGGGGTGATTTTATCCTCTATATATTTGGTATGGGCGGTTCGACTATTTCCTTAATTTTTTAACAACAAACTTTTGTTAAAGCCGCAAGTTGAAATGTATTAAGTGCGTTATCCCTCTTTGAACTGTTTATGTAGTTCACTTGTATTTTTTGTTTTTATGCTGTTTTTTAATAGTTTACATAAAATTAGCTCCTTTATACATATCAATGTTTTCTGGAGAGAATTTCTTACATCTTGGTTTCCTACTTCCAGTACATCTGGGATGGTGATCATACCACTAGAGCTTCCCATTACTACAGCACGTCCATGCTCTTGAATTTGTAAATAGAATACTGTATGTTTCATGTTACTCAAAAAACCATATACCGTGCCATTGGGGTTTCCTCTTTTATATTCACACACTTCACTGAACTATTATGTGGAGAATGTCTATTACCCTTGGCTGCCTTTTATATCCTGTGATGGGGTTTGTACTGTCTGTGTTTTCATCCTTAGAGCTTTGTGAGTGCTGTCTTAGCTTATCTACTTAACCCTTATTTCGTTATTACATACTACAGAATTATTTGTCTGTTTTCTATTTAGGATCCATATCACTGTATATACAGAAATATTTACTTTCCTAGGTGTTTGGTTTTCCGTTTTTCTTTTGGCGTGGTTTATCAATATTTTTCAGATTATTTTGTACAATCCTTGTATGATTTACTGCTGTACTGCTGCCTTTCGTTTTCAGTATAGTGAGCACCTAAATAGTTTATTCTTTTTGTCACTCTTAAAGGGAACTTACCATTGCCTCAGTGAGGTCCAACCCCTGCTCCTCTCCGAATTGCCTGTATTCCTCCTTTGGCAATCATGATTTGCCCTGCTAAGTGACACCGATAAGCTAGCTTCATTGTCAGTGTGCGGCATCTGTGGGAGGTCTCTTCTGCTCTCCCTGTCAATCACTTCATTTTTAAATAGATTTTACTCCCAATCTATACAATTTGTTAGCAAAACTGCAAGCACAATGTATTGATGTAAATGTATCCTCTTTTTAAAGAGATAAAATTGTTTTGGGCAATACATGTGCTCTTTAAGTGATTTGACATGAACCCAAAGAACAGTGCTCAGTACAATGTGACATAATTCCCAAATTTCAAATGCAGGTCTTTTTTTCAAAGTGCCAAACATGCTTAATGTTTCTTTGTCATACGTATAATGTTTTGGTTTACTATAACAGTTCTTATATTTTATTATAGACACGGAGGCTCGTATATGTGCAATCTCTTTCTTATTTATTCCCTCAGCAGCAAGAAAATTTTGAGAGAAATGTAAGAGACTTTAACTTAAACATTTAAATCTGCCTAGAAACAGTGGCAGCCAATAATGTCCCAGTGTCCCTCTGGAAAAGGGGCTGTCTTCTGTCACTCTTCCTCTTTCTTGCTGCTCCCTCAGAGTTAAGTACAAGATTTATTTTCTCATGGCATGTTATATTGATATGTGTTAAAATTTTAACGTTGTTATTCCGTTTTTACGGCTTTTCTGTTCTGTTCGTGGTGTATATCCAGGCCACCCTCACTAGGACACCGGTGGGCTTTAGGGACCCCCTGGGGATTTTTTTCCACATTCCTCTACTCCTGTCCCCCTTGCCTCGCGGCTCCCCACCGCATTCAGGAACCGGCGGTTCTCCCTTCCACAGGAGAACCGCCGGGCTTGTGTTCTTAGCCGCAGGAGGTTTTGTCTCCCTCCCTGTGCGGCTGAGTTTCTCCCACACTGCCAGCAGCCGCGAGCTCGGTACGCTCACGGCCATAGTGAGGGGAGGAGCAGGATACAGCCGTTGGCGCGCTTTCCGGGTGAAGGCGCGCATAGGCGGGAAACCTCAGTGGGATTTTTCTTGCCTTCCATCGCTGGCTGACGGCTCCAGACTCCTCCGGCAGGGTATACACCACACTAATAGTAATTATATTTCTGCTAAGAGTGATTTAACCGTTTCATCACTGTTTTCACTGTTTAGCTACATTGTACAGTTCTATTAATATTGTAGTGTGGGTTAATCAACCCTATTTCTTTATTTAGTTCTTTTCCCTGATCAGTTTTTTCCTCTAAACAACCACTTTAGCTATACACCTGACTTTACTAATATGCAGTCCAGGACTGATAATAATGAAGGGTCTGGATTAACCCCTGTGGACCCATTTCAAATCCCCAATAATGATGATACAGCCATAATGGCCTCTGAAGAATTCCAGAATATACTGGACACTACCATGGCGGCATCTATAAATAAAGCGCTGGCCTCTGCCATGGGGGCTATGTCCGCTTCATTCTCCCAAACTCTCACGCAAGCGCTCTCCCAAACCCATAGCGCACACATGGCTACATCTGTGGTGCATACCCCACCCGCCACTGCGGACCCTGTACCCCGCAAGGCAAAAAGTAAAACAAAGCACCTCAGCTCCCACTCCACTGAGAAGGCTATGCCTATTATGACTGATCCGCCTTTGGCGAGCAAGGATGGCGCGTTACAGCCACGCAAAAGAGCCCCTGGCCGGGCAAAAACGGCCAGATCTTGGAAACGGGCACGTGCCCTGGAAGATGAGTCGGATTCCGACTGGAGTGAGGAGGACGAGGTCTCCGACACCCCTGACTACGCATCCTATGAGGAGGCGGAGTCTGAGGCAGAGGGACCGGTTTTTGAAGCCCGGGAGGAGCTGACCTCCACAGCGCTTGGTTTGGTCGCTACTCCGGAGGACGCGGGACTCCGGGACCCTCAGGGCCAACCCCTGTTTGACCCGGAGGATTTGCGTAACCCGCGTTCTGCGGAGTGGGAACCACCCACACATATAGCCCGTTATCTGGCGTTGCGTATGCGCACGCCCCTATCAAAGGAGGGGCGCCAGAAGCTCAGAGCGGAATGCCCCGGCCTATTGTCCCGGATGAGGCTTGTAAGACCCCAGAAGTAGACCCCAAGATTGCCCAATTTTTGGGAAAGTCAGGATGGAAACCTAGAAAGGGCCTGGAGTTTGCTCTAAAAAACTGCCAAGACAAACTCTTAGAAACAACTGGCCCAGCGACTAAGCTCTATGAATTGTTAGAATCCGCTAAGGCGGGGGAATCTGCCATGGACTTCGACGTGGCTATAGGATGGGTTCAGCGCCTGATCTGCCTGTTGGGTAACGTCAACACGGCCATGGCGACTGAACGCCGTAAGGCAATACTATTAAAAATGGACCCTAAGTTGATATCTATGGCGGTTACTGAGCCTGGCCCGGCTGCAAAGGGCATGTTATTTGGAGACTCGTTTGTACGAGATCTGGGTACATATGTCAAAATGTTTACAGCTATAGATAAGGCACAAGCCAATCTAAAGAGGGTGTTCGCACCCAAGGTTTTTGGAGGGGCCGGGAGATCCAGGAGCCGTCCACCCGGCCGAGGCTACAGGGGTCAATCTAGAGCCCCCAGAGGTTCCCACCAATTCCCAAGATATACACCAGAATACAGGCCATCCCCGTTCTTCCCATCCAGAGGAAGACCATGGCAGCCACAGATATCGAGGGGAGCTGCATCGGGACGACGGCCCTATGGTAAGTGTAATTGTTCCTCCTTCCCCTCAAATAAAGGTGGGGGGGAGATTGGCCAGTTTTCTCCACATATGGCACCTGATTACATCAGACCAGTGGGTTCTTCAGACAGTACAAGGTTACCATTTAGACCTAGTATCCACTCCCATACAGTCCATGGCCCCAAGAGAGCTATCACTCCCCCACGATCAGGCCTTACGGATTACCCTAGAGATTTCAGAGTTAGTCTCAAAAAATGCGATCCAAGAGATCCCGTTACGCCAACGGGGATTCACGAGCACTCTTTTCCTAGTGCCAAAGAAAGGAGGCGGAGTACGCCCAGTGATAAATCTTCGCCACCTGAATGCGTTCATCCAATACAGACATTTCAAAATGGAGGGCATTCACTGCCTCAGGGATCTACTTCTACCAGCGGATTGGATGGTCAAGTTAGACCTGCGAGACGCATACCTGACAATTCCCATTGCAGAAGACTGCAGAGATTTTTTACAGTTTACATGGCAAGGAAGGAAATGGCGTTTCAGATGCCTCCCATTCGGTCTCTCTTCGGCACCACGGTGCTTCACCAAAGTGGTAAGCCGGTGATAGCATTTCTCAGATCACGAGGGGTCAGACTCATCATATACCTGGACGACATCCTCCTTCTCGCCAGCTCACCAGCCCTATTGCTTACCCATTTGGAGTGGTCACTGCATCTCCTGCAGAACTTAGGCTTCCTTATCAATTGGGAGAAGTCGATCTTAGAGCCGACACAAGACATAGAATTTTTAGGATTCCAAATCAATTCCATTCACCAGACCCTCTGCCTTCCGGAAGACAAGATCAAGACCATAAAAAAGGAAATCAGACGAATCTTACGAGCGCCAGACTTATCAATCAGACAACTGGCTCGAATCATAGGCCTGCTTGCCTCATCCATCCAGGCAATATTTCCAGGTCCATTACACTACCGGGCACTGCAAAGACTCAAGGGCTCCTATCTCCGTACTGGCCACACATACGAAACGCGTCTCACTCTCGACACAGAGTCCAGAGGGGAACTAGTTTGGTGGCTCGCCCACATGGACGCCTGGAATGGCAGGGCAATATTCGGAGCAACACCAGACTTGATTATAGAGTCGGATGCCAGCTCATATGGCTGGGGCGCACGCTGTGGAGATATTTCTACCGGGGGCAGATGGTCAGAGCAAGAAACACATCTCCACATCAACTCCTTAGAACTCTTGGCAGGGTCATTCGCCATCCGCAGCCTTACACCCACCAACATTACTTGCTGTGTCCTACTCAAAATGGACAATGTGTCAGCGGTGAGATATATAAACCACCTAGGGGGCACGAAGTCAAAGATGTTGGCCCTCCTCGCCAAAGAATTTTGGCACTTCTGTCTCTACAACAATATTTCCGTGATTGCGGAGCACATCCCGGGACTGGACAACTCCACGGCGGATTGGAACTCCAGATACCTCAGGGACTCGGGAGATTGGACGTTGCACAGGCAGATCTTCCGTCAGCTGCAAGCACTGTGGGGTCCACTGGACATCGACCTGTTCGCGTCTCGGTTGAACACACAACTTCCGAGGTTCTACAGCTGGAGACCAGACCCGGCGGCTCTAGCGACGATGCATTCATGCAAGTATGGCCACAGACAAGACATTATGCATTCCCACCGTTCAGCCTCATTCCGCGGACTCTCATCCATCTCAGATGGTACGGAGGTACTCTGGTACTAGTTACCCCATTATGGCGGACACAGACGTGGTTCCCCAGACTACTAGAGATGTCGATGGATTACCCACGAATGCTTCCGAACTTGCCGGATTTACTGACCGACAGGGACGGGAACTCGCACGACTTAGCGAACAGAGGTCTGTTACACCTCATAGCTTGGCTCCTTTCAGGGGACCCTGGGATATCCCTGATGTTCCACAGTCAACTCTCAGACTTTTGGCAGAAGCGTGGGCACCAGGCACTAGGAACGCCTACCAATCAGCATGGAGAGAGTGGTCTAGCTGGTGCCTGGCAAGGGAAGTGGATCCCGTATCAGCCCCTCTGAGTAAGGTTTTACACTTCCTCACATCTATTTTTGAAGAAGGAAAAGCTTATCGTACGATCAACGTGTACAGATCTGCAATAGCAGCAGGCCATCAGGGATTTACAGGTAATACGGCAGGAGACCACCCCTTAACCTGCCGACTCATGAAAGGAATTAAACTGTCGAGACCTCCAACGGCCAGGTATTCGGCCTTCTGGGATGTCAACATAGTCCTCAATTTCTTGAACTCGTGGCCGACAAATCAAGAGCTCTCATTTCAACAACTTTCCGCAAAACTACTCATCCTCCTTTGTTTAATTGCATGTAAACGGGTTTCCGACGTCAGGGCCCTAGATTGGAACGCCATGGTCTTTCAATCGGGCGGAGTGACTTTCGACATTTCACGAAGAACCAAGACCTCAACTAAACGAGTATTCTATCCAGCTTTCCCTAGCAAACCTAATTTGTGCCCAGTATTAGGGCTGAGGGCATATCTGGACTACACAGCCCCCCTTAGGTCTCCACAGGAAGGAGCATTATTTATCTCCCTTCGGAAACCACACCTACCAGTCTCATCCCCTACTTTAGCACGTTGGGCAAGATGGATACTCGCTAAGGCAGGAATTGATGTATCAAAATTTTCACCTCATTCAGTACGGGGGGCGATGGCTTCCAAAGCTTCAACGATAGGTTGCCGTTTAGAGGATATCCTTAAAGCGGCCGACTGGTCTAATGAGTCTACGTTTAGGGATTTTTATTGTCGCCCTATCGAACATTTCTCTTCGAGGATTATGGATCAGCTTTAAACTTGCACATATACGAGCCTCCGTGTCTATAATAAAATTCCAGGATTTTACTATTTACATGACGTAAAGTCATGATTTTATTAAAGACACGGAGGCGAGTATAATTCCCTCCCGCCCATCCGCGTCAGGAGATACAATTATATATGGACGATACAGGATCTACGGTAAGGCTCATACGACATGATTCAATTGTTTCATAAGTTTAGTCATTAAGATAAAGTTAAAGAGGTTAGATTAAATTGGACTGCTTGAATGGGGATTATACTATGATAAGGTATACAAACAGTTGGGAGATAAGATTTTACCACGCATTTGTTTGTCGTTACAGCTTAAAGTGAGAATACGGATGATATCGGCGTCAACGGATTGGAAGTTACTAGCTGTTAATTAGTTCTATGGAAGGTCGCAGACAGAAAGAGGAAGAGTGACAGAAGACAGCCCCTTTTCCAGAGGGACACTGGGACATTATTGGCTGCCACTGTTTCTAGGCAGATTTAAATGTTTAAGTTAAAGTCTCTTATATTTCTCTCAAAATGTTCTTGCTGCTGAGGGAATAAATAAGAAAGAGATTGCACATATACTCGCCTCCGTGTCTTTAATAAAATCATGACTTTACGTCATGTAAATAGTAAAATCCTGGAATTTTATATCATTCCTTTCTGTCCAGTGGTGTTACTGTGGAGCTTTTTGAATTTGAATATTCTCCTGTGGAGCACAGTGCAAATGATATAAAAAAATACCACATTAGAGGAGGAGCAGATGAATAAACCTCTGATCTCATGCACATTCCTTTGGCCAAGGATCTGCAGGAACATTTTGCACCTTTCTATTCCACTGGGAAATGTACCAGTGTCTGCAGGCTTAGACAGTCTTCAGGACTATCT